AATTTAAAATAAATTTTTAAAAAAAAAAACATTAAATAATTTGCAATTTGTAAGCACGGTCTCGTCCCCCTCATGCTTGCAGAACCAGCTGTAGCCCCTCATCCAGGGAGACGATTTGCTCCAATATGTGGATGAAAGCTGCAAAATGTTAATGCTGAGCACCAAGCCGTATAATTTTCTGATTTCCCATTGGTTGTTTAACGACAAAAAAGCAGTCTAAATAGAATATATTAAATTTCCTTCCATCGGAAATAGCCCTGGTTTGCTTTCAAGGCGTACCACGAAACACATCCCATCGGACTGCCATGAACTCCCATCACCCACACTGCTTTTTAAGCATCTTTTCGATGCTTTTCTGTTTTTAAAGAGTGGAGATGAAAGGCTGCTGGGAAATTCGGTGCAATCTGTCGCTGTATTTCACAAGCAGGTGTGAACAAGCTGCAAATTCAAAGAGGAAATCTCCAATGATGACACTGCAGCTGGGTTATGGGGTAGTGTGATTAAATCATAGAATCACAGAATCGTTTAGGTTGGAAAAGCCCTTTCAGATCCCCAAGCCCAACCGTTCCCCTACCCCTGCCATCCCACCCCCAAACCCTGGCCCTCAGCACCTCGGCTGCCCGGCTGTTAAATCCCCCCAGGGCTGGGGACTCGACCCCTTCCCTGGGCAGCCCCTTCCCGTGCCCGACAGCCCTTTCGTGGAAGAAATTTTTTCCTAATGTCCAACCTAAACCTGCCCTGGCACAACTTCTATAGCATGTATTAAATCTGAAAGGATCTGAATTAGGTATCTTAAAAGTACTGTATGCGTGGCGGTAGCTCTCTGTGTTTATACATGTGTCTGTTTTGAGGTTTATAAAGCAATTGTTGTGATGTCCTGCTCAATCAAATGGTGAAGTGTGGAATTTGGGGGTGCACAAGCCATTGAGCGGCTGCCACCATCGGTCTCCGGTGTCCCAAGCTGGGCACGGTGTCCACGAGCTTCCGTGCGTGGTGGCTGTTGGGCACACGTGGCGAATCCCACCGCAGCCGGCACCAGCACCCGAGGAAAGGACTGACCTGGAGCTGTAAAGGGACTGGGATGACTGGTAGGTGCTTCGCCAGGGAAGATGCTGAGCTGCTGCCTCCTATTTATCCAAACCCAAACAGCACCAGCAACAATTAGTCCCAGGAAGGATCTTTGTAGGCCGTTAAGGTGGTTTTGAAAGGCTGCGGGCATACCGTCTCCAACAAAATGGTGCTTTTTCCAACCACCCAAACTCCTTTGAACTCAAACATTTTTCAAATCTCAAATGCCGGTACTAGCAGGATCAATTTACCATGTTGTGGTTTAGCATCCATCCCCGCCCTCCTCCCCAAAATGTTACTTTGATCAAGTTTCTGCAACTTGTTCTACCTCGTATCCCAATCAATATGGTTTTATTATTAATAAAAAATGCATTAAGTTGTTCTAGTGAGTATGTGCCAAACCACCGATTTCAGTCAGACCTGGATCAGTCCTACCACCTCGCCAGAAATTAGATTTCTAGAATGAAGCCATGGGAGGTAAATAATTAATATCCTTTTCCTTATAAATGAACGTAATTCAGCAAGAGCAAATTATTTTTAAAGTCTGTTTAAAAAAATAAAATAAAAATGCTCCCAAATGAAGATCGTATTTCTTCCGCATTGGCAGATGAAGAGTCCCACCGTGGGCCATGGGGAGTGGTCAATACCAAGGGCTGAACCACTTCTAGCATCAAGGATCCCTTTCCCGGCTGGATTTAGAGCCCAGACTCAATCTCGAGCTCTCCATCCTTGGCACAGACTGCACCACACCCGGAGCAGCTAAGCAGTTTTGGGCTGGAGGTAACTTATTTCTCAACCCTTCAGCCAGCAGCTACATGTAAAACGCAGGAACATCTCTGTTACAAAACTCTTCACGTCTTACTTCCTCCCTCCTCCTCTTTCCCGTAACATACAAAGCTCCTTTATCAAGTCCCTCTGCTAGTACCGGCTATAAAAAGGAACCAAACTTAGAGGAACTCTTCCAGGAAAGCAGAAGAATTTTAAAAACAAGTTATTCAAAGCTAAAAAAAAAATAATCTTCATTTACATACCCAGAACTTGTTAAAACACCTTCCCAGTCTCTACAGGACCAGACCGGAGTCCTTTACCTGCTGTCAGACAAAATATTCTCAGGCAAATATATTGTAATGCAAAGGAATTTTGTTCTCTGGTAATTAACAAATGGTTAATGGAAAGATAAACTCATTGAGAAAATAGACAATTTATGGTCCAGATTCTTCTGTCCTTACTGGTGCACATGTCCCCATTAATTTAATTCAAGTCTCACTAGCAGTCAGATTTATGAAGTAATTTAGTATCCAGACTTAGAGAGAAGAGTGGACCATGCTAAGCAAAGACACATGGGTCTGCTAAGAAAGAGACAACTATAACTCGATTACAAATACTAAAATATATTAAATGGAAAACATAGGAGTTGCATGTAACTCCAGCAGTAAATGTACCCTCTTTCACCAACATACCAAAAAGAAAACATTTTTAAAAATGACAGCCTTCTAGTTAATCTGGCCTTCGATATAGACCAGGCAACTTGCAGCTTTACTTCTTGGCTTAGATGAAAGGAGCATTTCCTCCTTTCCTTGTCCATACAGAATAAATTGCCACAAAAAATGCACTAACACATCACCTCTGTGCAACAAAGTCCCCAGGCCTAATACTTGAAGAGGACCTGGCCTGCTCCTTCAAT